ATATTCCCACCAGTGGTGTAAAGGTGTTCCCTGCTCACCACACCCACGCCAACGTCTACTGTTTTTTGAATTTTTGATTATGGCCATTCTTGCAGGAGTATCGCATTGTGATTTTGATTTGCATTTCTCTGATCATTAGTGATGTTGAGCATTTTGTGGGTCACTTGTATATCTTCTTTTGAGAATTGTCTTTTCATGTCCTTAGCCCACTTTTTAATGGAATTGTTTGTTTTTTTTTTTACAGATTTGTTTGAGTTCATTGTAGATTCTGGATATTAGTCCCTTGTCAGATGCATAGATTGTGAAGGTTTTCTCCCACTCTGAGGGTTGTCTGTTTACTCTGCTGACTGTTCCTTTCGCTGTGGAAAAACTCTTTAGTTTAAATATGTCCCAGTTATTTACCTTTGATTTTAATGCATTTGCATTTTGGTTCTTGGTCATGAAATCCTTGTCTAGTCAATGTCTAGAAGGCTTTTTCCTATATTATCATCTAGAATTTTTGTAGTTTCAGGTCATAGGTTTATGTCCTTAATCCATCATGAGTTGACTTTTGTATAAGGTGAGAGATGAGGATCCAGTTTCATCCTCCTACATGTGGCTAGCCAATTATCCCAACATCATTTGTTTAAAATGGTGTCCTTTCCCCATTTTATATTTTTGTTTGCTGTGTCAAAGATCAGTTGGCTGTATTTGGGTTTATTTCTGAGTTCTCTATTCTGTTCCATCAGTCTATGTGCCTATTTTTATACTAGTACCTTTAGTATTTTTATACTATACTATGTGCCTATTTTTATGCTGTTTTGGTGACTATGCCTTTATAGTAAAGTTTGAAATCAGTAAGCATGATGCCTCCACATTTGTTCTTTTTGCTTAGTCTTACTTTGGCTATGTGGGCTCTTTTTTGGTTTTATATGAATTTTAGAATTGTTTTTTCTAATTCTGTGAAGAATGATGGTGGTATTTTGATGGGGATTGCATTGAATTTGTAGATTGTTTTTGGTGGTATGGTCATTTTCCCAATATTGATTCTACTCATCCATGAGCATGGGATATGTTTCAATTTGTATGCTGTCTATGATTTCTTTCAGCAGTGTTTTGTAGTTTTTCTTGTAGGGGTCTTTTGATTCCTTGGTAAGGCATATTCCTAAGTACTTGATTTTATTTTATTTTATTTTATTTATTTATTTTAGCTGCTATTGTAAAAGGGGTTAAGTTCTTGATTTGATTTTCTGCTTCGTTGCTGTTTGTGTATAGAAGAGCTACTGATTTGTGTACATTAATCTTGTATCCACAAACTTTGCTGAATTATTTTATCAATTCTAGTAGCTTTCTGCAGGAGTCCTTAAGGTTTTCAAGGTAAACAATCATCGTCAGCAAACAGTGACAGTTTGACTTCCTTTTTACCGATTTGGATACCCTTTATTTTTCTCTCTTGTCTGATTGCTCTGGCCAGGACTTTCAGTCCTAGCCAGTTGAAGAGGAGTGGTGAGAGTGGGCATCCTTGTTCCAGTTCTCAGAGGAAATGCTTTCAACTTTTCCCATTCAGTATTATGTTGGCTGTGGCTTTTCATAGATGGCTTTTATTACATTAAAGTATGTCCCTTGTATGCCAATTTTGCTGAGAGTTTTAATCATAACGGGATGCTGAATTTTGTCAAATGCTTTTTCTGCATCTATTGAGATGATCATTTGATTTTTCGTTTTTAATTCTGTTTTCGTGGTGTATCACATTTATTGACTGGTATATGTTAAACCATTCCTACATTCCTGGTGTGAAACCCACTTGATCATGTCATGGTGGATTTTTTTTTTTTTTTTTTTGATGTGTTGTTGGATTCTGTTAGCTAGTATTTTGTTAAGGATTTTAGCATCAATGTTCAACAAGGATATCAATCTGTAGTTTTTAAATGTGCTTTTCTGGACCGGCACCGTGGCTAACGCCTGTAATCCCAACACTTTGGGAGGTCGAAGAGGGCGGACCACTTGGGGGCAGGAGTTCGAGATCAGCCTGGCCAAAATGGTGAAAATCCGTCTCTACTAAAAATACAAAAACTAGCCAGGTGTTGTGGCCGGCGCCTGTAATCCCAGCTGCTCAGGAGGCTGAGGCAGGAGAATCGCTTGAACGCAGGAGGCGGAGGTTGCAGTGAGCCGAGATCACGCCACTGCACTACAGCTTTGGCGACAGAGAAAGACTGTCTCAAAAAAAAAAAAAAAAAAAAAAAAAAAAAAAA